TCCCTCTGCAGATTGTGACTGTGAACTGTGCCAGGCTCTTGAAAGCTGACCACCATGCCACCAACGGAGTGGTTCATGTCATCGACAAAGTCATTGCCACCACTACAAACAGCATTCAGCAGATCATTGAGACTGAGGAAAGCCTGGAGACCCTTCGGGTGAGTTCACCCAACATGTGCTCCAGGGTTTCTTAAAGATATTCACAGTCATTCCACTCTGAGTGAATTGTCATGAAGAGCTTGCCAGTGCCTAGGTGCTGTGATTCTAAAGCTGCTGATAAAATCCTTGGAAATGGGTTTAAGCTGAAAGAGGGGAGGTTTAGATTAGATATTAGGGAGAAGTTTTTCACTGTGAGGGTGGTCAGACACTGGAACAGGTTGCCCAAGGAAGTTGTGGATGCCCCCTCCCTGGAAGTGTTGAAGGCCAGGCTGGATGAGGCTTTGAGCAACCTGGTCTAGTGGAAGGTCCCTGCTGATGGCAGGGGGGGTGGAACTGGATGATCTTTAAGGTCCCTTCCAAGCCAAACCATTGTATGATTTTGCTTTAGGAAGATAAATATTTGCTAACAGTGCAAGTAGGGTTTTATGAGAATAATTGATACCCTGCTATTGCTGTCAGTAAAGAGATGTAGACTGAGTCTGTCTCTTCACTCTCCTATGGGAATCACAGCCTTAGGAGATATTAACTGTTCAGATTTGATGAGTACCAATTTATTTGCCAAGTTAAGGAATAACTTTAAAAGCACAGGGGTTTTGCAGTTAGCCAGCTGTGGGTTCAGATCTGAATTCTTCACTGGAATTACTGTGACTCTTTCCAGGCATATCAGGATATTTGAACTCAGTCTTGCAAAAAAAAAAAAAAAAATAGTTCTTGTACTCAAATTTCTGGAGCACAAGAGAACCACGGGGCCAGGTCAAGTTTATAAAGGGACCAAAGTGCTGAAAGAAGCTATTCAGGGATTTTTGTAAGAAGTCCTCTGAAATTTTAAAAGCCTTAATAAATCTGGCCCTTAATGTGTGCCTGAACAAAGATGCTGACCTTTGTATTCTGGCTGAATGTCTTTTACCCTCTCTCCTCATTTCTCTGAAGGCTGCTGTGGCTGCTTCTGACCTCAACAGCTTGCTGGAAAGCAAAGGCCAGTACACACTCTTGGCTCCAACCAACGAAGCCTTTGAGAAGATCCCACGAGAAACACTGAACAGGATTCTGGGGGACCCAGAAGCCCTGAGGGGTGAGTGCTTGTTTACTGAACCCATTGAGAGACTGAAGAGTATTTTGCAGTTCTTCTAAATTCCTTCTCAAGGGCATCTGAATGGCTCCTTGATACCCCCTGACAACAGCTGCAGTAAACACATTTGACAAACTCCAGCTTTTTAAACTGGACAGCCCAGATTTCTTTGGATGTAGACATGGTAGATGTGTAGACGTGGCAGAGGGGATGTTATCCAGATATGGAGGAGGGAGCTGAAGCAGTCCCTTTGCTGAGTTTTCCTTCAGCACTCCTGTTATGTGTTGGTGATTCCTATCAATGCGGCAAGATGTAAGAAAGCCAGTATCTAGTCAAGGTAACCTGCCCTGACAAGTGAGTCAAATAACCACACAAAACCTTTCTAAAGTCGACAAAGGTGTATAAAAATTACTCTTTTTAGGCACATCATTTCACAGGCTGCTGAATTAAAATCAGCACAATTTAAAATGACTGTGCATTTTTTGGAGTGGAGCCCCTTATAGTGCTGTACAGGAGGTCCTTGCTGTTGAACACGACCCCTAAGAGCTGCAAGAATTTTATAGTTGGTTTTTCCAGC